CTTAATTAAAAATATTTAATCCGCATGAAAATCTTATTTGCCAAAAAATTAAATAATAAAAAAAAAAATTGATCGATTAATGTTTTGGAAAATGGCTGCGGGAAAAACGATTAAATGGAAACGACGAGAACATGGAAATTTTTGAAAACGATGGAGAGAAAGAAAAACAAAAGAAACGCAAAAAAAAAACTGCAACAAACAAAATACAAAAAAGTGGAAAAATTAAATAAACGCGCGCTACCTTACATGGAAGTGTATCTCTCTCTCTCTCTCTCTCTCTTTCTACCTTAGCCAGGTTTCCAGGTTCGACTTTCAAGTCCCACTTTTTTTTTAATATGGCGACCGACCGCCTACTTTTCCTAAAATGAAATTAAAAGAAGAAATGGGAGCGGCGCAAAACCTCCAACAATATTTTACCGCAAAATAACCTCCATTACAATTTTTTTGTTTCGAAAACGATTTTCACGAGTGATGGAATAATGAAAAAAAAAATTATTTTTCCATCGAACACGACGCGATTCCATGCAAAAAAAAAAAAAAAAAACGTTCGTATGACGTCAAACACATTTTATTCGGGCGTTTAAACTAAAAAAAATGGGGGGGGGGGGAAATTACACGTTTGCTTCCTGTTGGAATAATTTCTTACGGTTATGACGTGCGTGTAAAAAAAACCTGAACTTGATATTGAATATGAAATGAAATGGATCGATAGTATTTAAAGGACGAGAGGTTTGTAAAATTTATTACGTCATCACACGACGCGTCATTCTTTCGTTTATAATAATAATAATAATAATAACAACGACAATCGATAAATCGAACGATTCGATTATTATTAATTGAATATTTATGACTTTGAGTAAACGCGAATAATTAAAAAAATTTTTGATAAAAGTTTAATGAACGCGAGATAAATCGAATTTTCCTAAAATTTTTCCTTTTTCTATACACACACGATCGTTATTTAGTTAAAGATAATAATAATAATGACCGATTATTATTCTAGCATAAGTAAGATGTTTCGGTTACTTTCTTTATATAAAAAATCATTTAATTTGATGGTTTTTTATTATTATTATCTTATTTCAATCGAAAAGGGAAAACGCATCAAGAAAATAATCATTTTCGTATAACAAAGACCTTGGATTTTACACGTTAAAAAAAAAAACCACAAATGAACTTAAATGGAAGAAGGTGATGATGATGATGATGATGAAGGAGTATGAAGCAGGTGAAAAAACTCTTTTTTTAAAATGGCTGTCATACACGCAAACGCACACGCACAAAAGATAATAATAATGATTTTTATTACGTTTTTTACGTAATTCGAACAAGTTTGTGTGTGCCACATTTGTTTTTAATTTTTACATAAAAAATATATATCCGGCGCTCGAAAAAGAATAATAATAAAAAACAAATATGGCGGACTTTCGAGTACTGCAAACGTTTTAGAAACGGTTTCGCGGGTGAGAAACAAACAAAGACAAACTCTTTAAAAAAAAAAAAAATTCGTTTGTGCCAACTTTAAAAAAAAAAAAAATTTTACACGAACAAACGAAAAGAAAGTTTTTTTTTTTTTTTTTAAAAAAAAAATTTTGTTCTCCAGTAAAAATCGAAAGGAGTTTTTTTTTTTTTATATATAGGAAATTCGAGTGTATTATCCTTATCATTTACACATGATCGCTCAACCTCATCTTATCAATATTCATTATATTTAAAGGTGTGTAAATTAAATCCGGAAATTTAAAGAAAATTTAAAATAATAATAATAATAATAATAATAATAATTTTTTTTTACATTTTGGTCCAAATAAGAAACCGCGAAAAGAATAACCTGGATAGAAAGAAAGATAGAGAGAGAGAGAGAGATTTTTTTTTTTTTTAACAAATATTATTATTATTATTGATACGTTTGAAAGTTATTGGTTTTTGTTTTTGTTCGTTTGTTTATTTGTTTAAAGTTAATTACACTTCGCGGATAATTATAATTTTTAAAAACGAAAGAAAGAAGACAAATAAAAAAAAAATCCGTTTTGAATTTAGGCGATGCACACGTTTACAAAACTTTCTCTGTTTTTTTTTTTTTTTTTTTTTTTTTTTTGTTCTTTTTGTTTGTGCTGCGTGCATTTTTCGTTATTTTAAGTTTTTTATTTTGTATTTTCGCTTTTGGTTTTTATATTTATAAGAATGAAGAGGTGAGAAAAAGGGGGGGAAAAGGAAACCGCAAAAGTGAACGTGTCATTAGAATCGAAACAAAGCGCCCTCTCTCTCTCTCTCTCTCTCTCCTCTCTTCCTACACCGTCCTAACATTGCAAGTTAAATTCTGTTAATTGACTCGAAATATATCATTTGCTCTCTCTCTCTTTCTCTCTCTGTCTAAATTTCAAACGTACGTTTTTTTTTTTTTTAATGAAAAATTTCTCAAAAAGTAGAAGAAAAAAAAAATTTTTTTGGAGGAAGCAATTATAAATGTGAAAGTGGTGGCAAACGTCGTGACTCGAACGGATGCTGGAAATTTTTAAAAATTCAATACTCGAACGTTATAATTTTTTTTTTTTTAAAATTTTCAGTCGATGGAAAAGAAAAAAAATAATAATAATAATAAATATCGTTTTCGCGTTTGTTAAACTTTAAAAATTTTTAAATTATTATTCCGATTATGAGTGCATTAAAAAAAAAAAAAAAAAAAAAATATTAATAATAATGATAACGATAAAATTACAAACTAGGCAGCGGTGGTTTACACGTGTGAATCCATAAATTTTTTTTTTTTCACTTTTCTCGTATTTTATTTTTTAATAAATTATTTTTTTAATTATAAGTTTATTATTATTATTATTATTTACTTTCTCTTTTTTTGCGTTTGCGTTTGTTTGTTTGTTTTTATTTTTTGCGTTTGTTTCTTTGTTTGTTTGATTGTTTTTTTTCGAACTAATGCGAAATGTCGTCGGTGCTGATTGTAAAAATTTTATTTATTTATATTTTTTGTACAACTTTTTCGTTCGCTTTTTGTTGAGTCGTGATTAAGTAACGAAAACTTTAGCCTACTTGAAAAAAATTTTCTTACAAGAATTATCATCTTAACTTTTTTTTTTTTTTTTTTCCATCATCATCCATCGATTTAATTTTTTTGTTCATCTTTTCTCCTTTTTTTTAATAATGCAAATCGTATTATTCGATCACGTTTGTCACACATCATCAAATTTTTACCCATCCATTCACGGGTCGAATCGATCGATTCGAGATTTAAAAAAAAAAAAAAAAAAAAAGTTTTTTAATCTTTATAAAATCCCTTCACGTGTAATTATCGATAATTTTTTCGCGATTTTTTTTCACGGTAAAAATTTCAAAAGAATTTTTTTTAAGCGAATAAATTTAATTTGACGTAAAAAAAAAAAATTTTTTATTTCAGACCCCCATTGGTGTCTCTTTAAAAATAAAATACTGTTATTCGTTTTTTTTTTTTTTTATTTAATATGTCGACGATCTCACGACGACAAATGCAGGATATTTTTGATTTCACAATCACGAAAAAAAAAAAAATTTTTTTTTAAATGACTGTCTGGCTGTCTCCCCGTTCGAAAATAACCATTTAAAAAAAAAAAAAAAAAAAAATGTCTTCCTTTCTGTTTTAATATTCGGTTTCGTATCGGATAACGTTTTAACTTTTCTTTTTTTTTTTTTTGGGGGGGGGAGGGGATATATATGCGTGTATGTGCGTGTACGCATTTTTCTAAATAATATCCTATAAAATTCGATCGTTATTGCACGCGTAAGGTTTTTTTTTAAATTTTCGGAAGAATAAAATGATTGAAAAGCATGTCGAGGTTGAAAAAATAAAGAAAAATTTTAAGAGGGGGAGGGTAGGGGGGGGGGAATTCATATCGAAATGGATAAATTCGATAGAATCCCGTGGAGAATTTACCGGGGGGGGGGGGGAGGAAACAAAACCATCATCTTAATGATTCCGGGGTAAAATTGAAAAAAAAAAACTAAATCAAGGCCGAAAAAAACAAGTTTTGGTTTTGTATTGTACGTGTATGAACTTTCAGGTGTTTCGAAACGTGTCACAAAAAAAAAAAAAAATAGAAAATAAAATGATAATGATAATGAGAACAAGTAAAAAAAAAAAAAAAAAAAAAATTTCCATGATAATTTTCCCTAACTATGACAAATCGATTGTTTTTGTTTTGTTTTCAGTGCGTTCGTCGTCAAACGTTCGGAGGTCAAACAAACAATTTATCGGGTTTTTTTTTCTTTTTATTTTACGTTCGATTCACACGTGGAAAATGGGAAAACGTTTCCGCAATTTTTATTTTTTTTTCTCACTATTATCGTCTGCATTTATCATATTTCGATCTAATCAATGAACACAGAATATCTCTCTCTCTCCCTCTCTCTCTCTCTCTCTCTCTCTCTCTCTCTCTCTCTCGATTTTCATATTTTGTAAAATCTCGTTGCGAGTTTTTTAATTAACGAATCAAATATAAAAAAAAAAAATTCGATTTGCGGCCATTCATAGACTACTTACACGTCAAAAACGCGTGGGTTTTCTCGCATAATTTATTTACAATAAAAATGCCTTTTTTAAGGCAATTCTCGTGTTGAATGCCCACGTTGTGGCCAAGTTATTATGTATATCGCGATAAATCGTACTTATAGTTACGACTAGTTTTAGAAACTCTTGTCGCGTTTGTGCGTGTAATTTAGAATTTTCAAAAGAAAAACAAAACATGTTTTGAAATTTTTACGTTTTGTTACGAAACAACACATAAAAACCTCTTTTGCGTTCGTGAGTTTGTGCATACGAATGACCGCCATCGAATAAAAATAATTTGATAAGACACTTACCCCCCCCAAAAAAAATTTGGATGCGGTTAAGATATGTAGTAGATATGTCCCCCCATTCATTGCTCGTCATTTTCATCTTCAACGTCGGCCATTTTTCTTTTAAACCTGAAAATAAATATTAATGAGATGAAATGTATTTTAATGAAAAAATGGAAAGAATTGATTTTATATCTCACGACATTAATAAATTCGAAATCCGTCTTAAACCGATTCAAATTCAAGTTCGTCATTCATACGGAAAATTAATTTTTTGTAAATTTAAATAAATTTTAAAGAGCGCCATACTGAATTTTTTATTTTTTTTTTATTTTTAAAATGAACGAAAGGTCACAACAACAACAACAAAATTTTTATTTTATTTTATTTTATTTTTTTAATATTACACTCAGGTAATATTATTTGTTTCGCGAAAAAAATATTTTAAAAAAATTCGTTCCATATTTTGTTTTGGTATTTTTTATTTATTTTATTTTGCGATGATTATTCTCGTGCCAAAACTGTGCAAATAACAAGGACAAATTTGATGACATTCGAATGAATTTAAATAAATTTATTTATTGTCCGGTTGTAAAAACAAAACCCGCCCATTTTAAGTGCTGTTGCTGTTGCTGTTGCTGCTGATTCAGGTAAAATCGAATAATGGGAAAGTTTTGAACGATTCCTATTATTAAAATCCTCGTACGGGTTTGTTTGAAAAAAGGCAAAATATTTCAGGTTCTTTGAATTGTTATAAAAACCTAAAAGTTTTCAATTATGTTTTTTTAATTTTTTTAATTATTTTTGGTTTTTTCAGTGTTAATAAGATCTCCAGTCTTGCCGACGTTCAATACTGTAAGAATCTTAAAGAGCTTTACGTGAGGAAAAACGAAATAAAAAATCTCAACGAAATTTGCTACCTGAAAAATTTACCGTATTTAAAAGCGCTATGGCTCGCCGAAAATCCATGTTCGGCTTCGGACAGTCTGTAAGTAAAGTTATATTATAGAAAAAAGAAAAATAAATAGAAAATTATACAAAGATGTACGATTTTAATAAAAAACTCGTCGACATTAAATTTAAAAACCATAAATAAAATGAAATTAAACGGGGGGGCAGAAGGCAGGGGGTGGGAAGGAAAGAAAAGAAATTGCGTTTAACAAAAAAAAATGAAAACTCCACCCTTTGATCGTGATTTAAATCCGCCGCCTTTTTTTTGTCTTATTGTTGTTATTTATTTATTTTATTTAAAAAAAATTTTTTTTTTTTTTTTTTTTTCAGTTACCGATTTACAGTCATAAAAAATTTACCTACGTTGGAAAAATTAGACGACGTGAAAATAGAACTAGAAGAAAGACAAGATTCGATGAAAAAAGGAAGAGATTTGATACATCCGGAAGATTCAGATTATGAAAATAATAGTCCCGCTCAAAGTCCGGTCAGAATTTCGGTTCGTTTTATGTTTTTTTTTTTTTTTTTTCCTTTTGATTTTGTCCAATGGTCGTCACGTATCGGACACGTTAGTTTTTTTATTTAAATAACAGAAGGGGGGAAGGGGAGGGGGAGAAAAAATTAAACAAATAATTTTAAAAGTCGGTCGATCGATCGATGAAGCAAATTTTTCCTATTACACACTACGTATTGGTTGTAAAAAAAAGTTTTTCAAGGTTTTCATCATTATTATTATTATTACTATCAATACCATCGCGAAAAACATATGTAAATGTTTATTTATTTATTTATATATATAAAAGCAAGGCGTTGGCGCAAAACAAAAAAAAAAAAAAAGTTTAAATGTTTTTATTTAAATGATTTGATTTTTTTTTTTTTAATGTTTTCTCTTCCCTCATTTAGAGATCGCCACCCGTTAGTGGTCGTTCTTCGGATCAGGATATAGAAGAAGAAGTTGAAAGTAGAAAATCATACAGTCCAGAACCGGAGCCTCCCACTTACACAACGCAAAACGAAAGCAAATATTCGGGTCGAAACGATCGCTACGAAAATAAAAATTACAAAAATAATCGTCGTCCGAATGAAGTTTCGTATGAAGTAAGCATAAACCTTAATAATAATAATAATAAAGAATTCGATGTCGAAATAAAAAAAAATTTACCGGTACGAAAACGACAAAAGGCTATTTTTTTTTTGTCCATTGACCTAGTACATCATACACGCACACACACACACACACACACACACAAACATACGCGAGACAAATCAATTTTTATTATTATCATTATCATTTTGAAAAGTGCAATGAGCGTGACCGTAGTAACATAAGAAATAACAATATAATCATAATAATATTAATTAATAAAATTAACCGTTACCTAATACATCCGAATCGTACGCGAAGCTAAACTAATAAATAAAAAGGATTAATCATAATTATTATTATTATTATTGATTGGTGTTTTGTAGCAGCAATACGATAACGGAGTTGGGAGTGAAAGCGTGGTAAGCGAAAAACACATTGATACATCTCATTGTACATCTTATTTAAACCGTCGCAATTCCGATACTTCCATATCGTTTAAAAAAGAAAAAACAATAATAGAATCTAACACGAGGATACTCCATAACTCTACTAACCAAGAAGATTACGAAGGTGATAACACCCCCGATAACAAGGTACGTTAACTTGTCTCTAATAAAGCTTTTGGGAAAAACCTTAAAAAAAATTAATTTTCCTTGCTATCATCATTATTATTATTATTTTTTTTTTTTTTACACTTTTCGATTTTACTTTTTTTCTTTTTTCTTTCTCTTTCTTCCGCCCCCTCCCCCCGTTTTCTGGTTTCTGCTTTACAGTAAACAAACACGGCCTTTTATAACAAATAACGCATTTTTAAAAGCTCTCAGTTTCCTCCCCCCCTTCCCTTTATTATTTTTTCACCAACCTATTCTTTTAGTGTCTGTATCTCTCTCTCTCTCTTTCTTTCTTTTGTCTTTCTCTCTTCTTTCACGTTAATTAAAAAAAAAAAAAAAAACGGGAGTAATTGTGGTAATTTTTTGAAGGAGGGATATTGTTATTGCGCTTCGAATCGCTATGATCGTCGAATTCAGGTGAATGCTAGCCGATATAGAGATCGAGGGGAAGGTACGAGGTGCTCCAGTAGCGATGGGAGCGGGCGTACGAGTCCCCATAAGGGGGTAAGTCTTACAGAGAGACTTTGTGGTTAGGGGAATCTTTCTTCTATTAGTATTTTCCTATTTTTTTTTTTTTTTTTAAACTATTAGGTCAGTCTTATTAGATTTCCTAAAAAAGGTGAAAGGTCATTTGATGTATCTATCATTACGTAGTAAACCATGTACATTATATATATACTTCACCCGCGATCCTTTTCATTTTTTGTTTTTTTTTTTAAAACTTTTGCTTGTAATGCTATGTGATGGTGATCTTTCTTTCTCTCTCTCTCTCTCTCATACTTTTTTTTTTTGATCTCTATCTGAGTCACGTCATATGATTCATATAAATAATTCGCCATTTAACAATTTTGTCTTTAACTAAACTAAAAATAAACCGCTTTCGTATTTATGAAAACGATGAAATGAAATCGTGCAGCATTTTTAATAGAAAAAATTTTGCATTTTAAAGTTTCCGGTTAAGACGAAAAATAAGTAAATAAAAAGAATGATTATCTCTTTTTTTTTTTTTTTTTTTTTTTGTTTCCAGCAAGAAAGAGCGTACCGACAATACGATAATTATCGAATAGATGGAGAAAGGTATTCCAAACCTTCTCCTTATCCGCCAAGGCGGCCCGTCACAAGGGTAATTAAATAATTTACTGCTCCGAATGATTTTCCTTATTAATTTATTATAAATGTCTTACCTTGACTTCTGTGCTTTTTCATTTTCAGAATTCAAATCTCCTTTCAGCAGTATTATGTCTCATTAAAGAACTAGATTATCCAAGTTTGGAAGTTGTTGCTATTGCCGTCAGATGCAGGATGGACGAATTCGATGATTAGCAACAAACAACCGATGCTGATGCTGATGATGATGATGATGATGATATTCTGCAAGAAAAAAAAGCAGAAGAACAAACCATGTAAAAATTATAAATAAATATATACATACTGAAGTAAAATTAATCAGGAAAACACGTGAACACACGCATTTATATACACCTTCGGGAAAAAAATTGAATATATTGCTTCACAATTTTCTCTCTTTTAAAACAAGAAAAACACTAATTTACACAAAGTTTTATTTAAAAGAGGGAAAAAAAACAGAAAAATGCTGCTGTTCGTTGTGAAAAACGACAGAACGTAGGTTTTTGTAAATTTCGAACTAAAAAAAAAGTAATAATAATAATAATAATAATATTAATATTTAATAATAATGATGGTAATGATAATACAATGGAAAAAAATATGAAACTTTAAACGTGTGACGGACGTACAGGTGCTAAAAAAAAAAAAATGGCTAATATATTAAAAAAGAGAAAAAAAAATTATTGTTATTGTTTATTGGAAAATGAATAAAAGAAAAAGAAGAAGAAGAAGAAAAGTCTTAACAGTGTTGATTTCCGGTTTATTTTAAAATTTTGTTCGTTCGTTTGTTTTATTTTTATAATTACTCTTGGAAATTATTTTTAAAAAAATAATTATTATGAATTTTTTTTTTTGTAATTTGTTTGACTGATTGCACAAATAAGCAATTATTTTTTTCTTTATTGTTTTAGTTTTTTTTTTTTTTTTACTTAAAGTTGAATTAATAAAAAATAAATAAGATTATTAAAAAAAAATAATTTGCAAAAATTTAAAAAACGCTGTCGGAAAAATAATGTGACGCGATTACAAGAAAAGAAATAACAACCGTTCAAATTGATAATTATTATTATTATTAATATGCATTGTATCACTATAATATTATACATTGAATATTTATTAATAAAAACAAAAAAAAATTATTACTTAATAAAAACTTATGCGATGTTAATAAATATTAATTCGGGAGCAAAAAAAAAAAAAAACCGTTACAAATCGTCGAAATTTTTCTTTTTTTTTTTTTTTTTTTTTAAATTTTAATCAAATGTAATCCCATTATTATTTTCATATTAAAATTTACAATGAATTATTAGTTAGTTACCCTTAGTTTTTTTTTTTTTTAAATAATAATAATAATAATAATAATAATAATAATCAAAGTTATTAAAACCGAAATAAATTACAAAAAAAAAAAAAAAAAAATTATAAGTTTTTTTTAAATTATTGTTCTAATAAATAAATAAATAATAAAGACATTGTTGTAAAAAAATTGTTTGTTGTTCGATTGTGTTTGTTTATTTTTTACGGTTAAAAAAAAAAAATGGGCTGTGCTTATGTAAAATTTGTTTTGCATTTATAATGTAATTCATTCGACAAATATTAATTGTATAAAGTTTTTTTTTTTTGTCTCACTCCCCCTTCGTTTTAATTTAGCCCCCATTTTTGTTTTTTTTTTTTTTTTTTTTTTATCATTTTACTTACTTACTTTTGTAATTACCGTTCAATTTGATTTTGTATATAATATTAATATTGTAATAATAAATAATAATATAAATAAGTACATAGGTAATTTTATTCTTATTATTAATTATTAATAAAATGCAAAATTTTTTTTATTAATTTCTACTTTGACTGATAAAAAATAATAAATTTATTTGTGTGTTCAACTATTACGTTTTTTTTTTTTTTTTTTTTCTTATTAATCTTTTATTAAGATCGTGAAAAACATTAAAATAAAAAAAAATTTTAATAATTAATAAAAATATTTTTTAATAATTAAGTAAATAATAATTGTAAAAAAAAATAAGATAAAATGATAATAGAGTCGTGCCTAACAAAAATAATTTAATAATAATAATATTACTTAAATAAAATTATAAATTGGATTAAATTATTATTATTATTATTATTTTAATCACAAAATATATATATATATAATTAATATAAAATAAGAGAGAAACATCAGTTATTAACTTGTGCAATATTATATAAATAACATATAATGCGAAATAAATAATAATAATAAGTGTTAAAATATGTAATAAAAAAAGTAATGGATTAATACAAATAATTATTAATTTGAAAATTTTAATAAATAGTTTAATAATGTAATTAAAATGGCGTAAAAAAACGTTACTAATTAATTGTGGTTAAGTTAAAATTGTGGTTATTAAATTATTTAATAAAAAATTTTTAATAATAACACACACACATTCCAATAATAAAAAATAATTTAATAATATTTTTTTTTATTAATTATTAAAATTGTAACAATAATATGTTGCTTTGACTGCATTCCAATAATTTGTTATTAATTATTATTATTATTTTTTTTTTTTTTTAAATTAATTGGACAGATAGTGTGGTACACATTTTGGATGATGTAAGAATGTAATGAAATGTCATGTTGATTAGTTTGTTTGTTTGAATTTCTTTAAAAAAAAAAAACAAATGAAATATATTTATATTTATATGTTTAAAAAATTTTGTTAATATGTTGTTGTTACATCATGTATTAAAAAAAAGAAGAAGAAGAAAAAATGTATGAGATTGATATTTAAAATTATATTTGGGTAATAATAAAGGTTGTGAAATAAAAACAAAAGTATTATTATTATTATTATTATTATTATTATTTGAAATTACTGTAACAAAATTAAGTTGAGCATTTAATTTTTTTTTTTTTTATAAGTTTTGTTTTCTCTTATTTTTGTTGTTGTTGTGAGCTCAACAAATTTGATCATGATTTGTATTGTTTTCTAGTCTGTTTTTTTTTTGATAAATATAAAACTTTTGCATCCATTTTGTTATTTTTATTTTGAATATTATTGTAAAAATTCTCAATGAATATAATTTTAAATTTAAATTTAAAGATGGAGATTAATTTTATGAATTTTCAATAAGGTCTGTAATCCCTTCAATATTCTCTTTTTATATTAATTTATATACCATAATAATAAAAAAGGTTTTTCAGCCATTTTGAAAATGCTTTAAGTGGTATTTCAATACAACTTTTTAAAACTTTTAATGAATTATTTTTATATGAGCCACTAAGTTATTTCATTTTATAAAAGAAAACCCTATTAAAAACAAATTTTACTGTGCTTATACTTGAGAAATTAAATAAAAATCTGGGAAAAAAAAAAGTTTGAAAAGCTTTAAAGAAAAATTCACAACTAGGCTTTTTGAAAAGTGAAAATAATTATAATTATTTTTCTAATTAAATTTTTTTTTTTTAATCTTATTAGATTCCTTATCAAAAATTAATTTCCTAATAAAAAAATTTATTTAATTTTTATTTTTTTTCAAACAATTCACTTTTACTTTCTATTAATTAAAATATTAAACTCAATCATAAAAAAAATTGCAATCCATTAAACACAGCCCAAGTTTTTATATATATTATATTTTAAACCATTTTTAAAAATTGTGTTTTTTATGAGATATGCATTTTATAAATAACACTTAATAATTTTAACAAAAAAAAATAATAAATTAAACTTATTTTTACCTTTAACAGCGTTTTTTTACCAGCGTAATTAATTAATTCTTCAATTATAAAACACCAAG